ATATTATTAAATAAAATTTTATTTAAATATTTTAAAATTTAAAAAATATAGATCATAAACATATTTTTAACAATTTTCTAAACAAATTTGCCTGGAAAAGCTTACAGATTAAAGGATAAATCCTTTTTTAATATGCTCTATTATGCTTAACAGAGTCTACTCGATCGAAACTGTAACCTGGTTGATTTTTATTAGAGAAAAGTTTACAAAACAAATGTAGTAGTTACTAAAAAATGAGTAAAATTCTAACGCTGTTACTATATAAATGCATCTTTGATTAAACGTTTTGCATTTATAAAATTAAAAAATATCAAATAGTGTGAAAGGAATTAAAAACGAAAAAAAGTGATTTTTTTATAGTTTTTAATATTGCGTGAAAATCTAAAAAATGTTTACTACATATAAAAAAGTTGGATTAATGATTATCACTATATCACCTATACTATGTTTGTAATTAAACTTGCATCGTACACTTCAGGGTTTTATGCAGAATCGTGCAGAATAAACCCATCATTAAATCAAAACAATTTCCCTAATAATTCATCAGACCAATCAAAAAAAAATTTTTGAATAAGGGTTTTAAACTAAATTTAGTGCCCCTATTCAGAGCACAATTGTCGAAAATTAGCCCATATGAAATGTGAAAACAGTGTCATTCTAATTTCTAGCATTATTTGTGACAAGAATTCAGTAAATGTCACTTTGTTTGGCTTGCGATATTGTTAAAGCCATATCATTTCATTGAAAAATGAGACATTTCCTTTTTTTATGTCAGGAAGAACACAGAGGATAGCAATAGCAATAGGAGGATCTTGAAATGACGCAGGAAAATTTTCTGGTTCTAAAAACACGAGTAACTAGTAACTCAGTCGTTGATTGTATTAATCACTTATACTGCACTCGAATGCAAGTATTTGGACATTTATTTTTTCAAGAATTCTTTAAATAGATTTGTCATGTTTAAGCAAAGGCAATCAAAGTTTGTTGCAAAGTAATAAATAAAATGGATCGCTTGCGCGGCCACATTGTGGAAGTCAAATTATATAAATAAATCATGTGATGATGGCATGCATGTGGCCAAATTTTTCTTATCGTGCCAAGAACGTCTAGCACACACAGTTTAGAATATCAGGAGTAATGAAAAGACCAGTCAAAGATCATACATGTGGACAAACATAGCTACAATTGGAGAGTTAATCTTCAATGATAATAGTGATAGGCATCTAATAAATTCCTGCAGTTAATTCCCGTCACATAACTGTAATTACCTTTGTTATAATTAATAATAGAAATAATGAAAGCAAACCAAAAAAAATAAAATTTAAATTAGCTTACTGTATGGGAATTATTCCGATAATTTGTTTGGCATTTTGACCAACTTTAAATCAGGCCAACAACTCTAAATCAGATCAACTTTAACTGTTTCGACAAATCAATAGATTTCATAATTGTAAAATTAAAATTTATAATTATGTTGGCATATACAGTATTTGTTTTTTATTTTATTATTATCGAAAATATTTTACCGTTATTATATATTGAACATTAATTACTTTCACTCGTGTATTGTGTGTATAAAATTGAATGTGCATTATAAAAAATTTTATTGTCGAGTCTTGAATTCTTATCATAATTGACATGATTCGAACGTCATTATTGCTTTCTTACTGGTTGTTTCTCATCTTCATATCACAGACATGCTTCCGAACCTATCAAGCATTAAACGCGTGTCGATCACTTTAGAATAGGATGAGAATGGTGAAGAAAGGTTAAGTATTAATGTCAGGTAAACTGGTTCTCAAAGGGTGGGTAGCTAAGAGTGTAATCCTATAAAGCTATGACTATCCCAATAGCGCATATCGATATTGTCAAAGCTAACGAAAGTAACTAGTTTGAGTAATACAATGTTAAATACTAAAAGTAATACCAGACATTCTACATTTATTTAATATAAAAAATAATTCTAATAATTAAATATATAGTTAATTTGTTGAAACATCCGATGGGATTTCAATATTATAAGGTTTTGCAGAGTATAGGTCATCTATAGTTATTACATTTTTTTTTTTTTAGAAAAAAAAAAAAAATCAATAGAATCCATAGGGCATTCAGTTAATACGACGCAATAATGAAACAATCGATTTACCATCATCCAAAACTTCAAAGGTTTCTTCTTTTGAAATAGCATCCAAATCGATAAATTGGCTACAATGAACGTTCTCACTTTCAAATATTGTAGGTTTCTCTTCAACATCACTTTTTATCATTTCATCAAAATTTTTAAATTCATCATATTCATTTACCAAGAAATACCAATCTAATAAAATTTCATAAACTTCTTGAATCTTTGGCCTTTTATGCGGTTCAGAATCCCAACATCTTTTCATCAAATCAATATAGCATTGTGGTGTTTCATAAATATTAATTTCTGGTCTTTCACCATTACATATTTCTAAAGCTAAACTCGTGTTAAATGGACATCCAGAAAATGGTAACTTTCCTGAAGAAAGTGACCACATTATAATACCAAAACTATATATATCAGATTCTTTTGTATAAGGTAGAATTCTTTCTAATACCTCAGGTGCTACATAAGGAAGAACACCAAATATTCCTTTCGACACTGTTTCTTTTCTTAAATTTTTTGAATCCTGATCAGATAAGATGATAAAAGGATATAATCCAAGATCTGAAATATATGCCGAGCCATCTTTTCCAATCAACACATTTCCCAAGTGTAAATTATGATGAACAAACCCTGATTCATGAATTAATTTTAATCCTTTTGCGATTGAAATAAGAATTTGTAATTTATCTTCAAGCCATTTCATGGTTTTAAAGTTTTTGGAAAGATAATTTCTTAGATCTCCTCCTTCGATATATTCGCTAACCAACATATATTCTTGAGTACTTGGATTTCGGGTTAGGCCATAACATTGAATAGAACCTAATAATTCGTAACGTAATTCCGTGTACGAAGTGATGAGTTTGACATATGTTTCAAGCTGTTCATATAATAAATTAAAAAAAAGGCTATTTGTTAGAGAAAAAAAAAAAGATATTAAAATAAATATGCATATATGTAAATATACCTCATGAAGAAATTCGGGGGTCACATTAACTGAAGATTTCCCAAGGCTTTTAATAATCACGTTTTGAGAACCATTTCTTGCCATTCCATATAAATACATTGGTCCATCTAACCAAGAAGCAGAGTAAACATCACCTTGTATACCTTTCATAATTTTTTTAACATCTGTAAACCTATCATAATTGATCCATTCAATATGATCAAAAATATGATTAGATTCAATTTGAGTACGAAAGATAATCCTATTAATTTCTGGACACCCGCTGGTCCAAGGAGGAAGCATAACACCAGGCACCAGACCTAATCCGCAAGATTCACACCAACCACTATTATTAATATTCGACTCAGAGTTTTGACAAGGACAAAATGGAGAAATTGGAATATCGGAAGCTTTAATCTTGTCAATATAATTATTTATATATTCGAGAATCCCATGTTCTTTTTTACGTAATTGATAAACCTGAAGTGCTCTAGACAAGGTAACAGAATTTATCATTTTGTCCTGAACATCCAATACACAAATAGTGGTTGCGAGAAATAAGTAGTATCCGGAAAGATGAGACATTTGTAAAAAAAGTGATGGCATGAATAGAGATAGGATATATGCAATTTCCTTTAACAATGCAGGAAATAAGTATAAATACAAACTTAACCCACAAGTACGAATTAAAAGAGCCAAAATATCATAAGGAAAAAACATTTTTGGTAAAGAGGACATACAAGAATAAATCAAAACACTAAATACTAAGATAAAAGATATCCAATAACCATATAGGATATAACAAATCGAAGTTAATAATAAGAAACATCCTGATATCGAAGATAAGATAAAATATCTATTGAGTATCAAATGAGATGACTTTAAATGATTTTTATCGGTTTCTAAATAAATAGCGATGATTAAACTAAAAATAAATGTATAAATGCAACAATCTATGTCAATTATTCGCCATAATAAAGTTTCAAATAATATAATTATAATAGTCTTTGGAAGATATTTATAACCATGTGAAAAAGGATATCTAAGAAACTGGAAAGCAATTTGATCCATATCTAAATACAAGCAGAATTTTATAAGTTAGCACGATAAATAAATTATGATATCGTATTAAACAAAAAGAAAATCGAACTTTCTTTTCAAAAAAAATAAAATAAAATAAAAACGGTTATAGGTACGTATGTACGTACGTACAGAAAAGTTAAGTTTATAAATGAAAGTAAAAATTAAAAACCAAATATACCCGAACCAAGAAAAGATATTTATAGGATTAAAGTATGTATTCTTAAATTACATACCGCATAACGAAAAAAACGTCATGAGATTTGCACAATAAACAATGGCGAACAAATAGTGTAAAGCGATCGGGTAAAGTGCAGATAATCACATTTATTGTATCACGTCTCTTTACTCAACTATCATTATTGTTTACTATTGCATATTAGTTTTCCAATTACATAAAACAAATGAGATAAATTAAATGCCTATATATGACCATTTCTTTTATTTCATCATACCACACGTCAGATTTCATATATAGGCCTCATATTCATGCATTTAAGACCTTTTAATACTTTACAGATATCATTAATGATATGATTGCTCTCTGACAGCCCACGACGTATTTCCTAATTGTTTGCGAACCTGTAAAAAATGTCTCGTTTATGATTTTTAACTTCCTTTTGGAATAATTTTGGAAGGTTCAACATTTGGAATGAAAGGTTTTTGCTATAATTATTTTGATCGACTTGTATGTTATTTTCATTTCCATTTTTATTTAAATCGCTTAAGTTATTGTAAGATTTAAAGTTTTCCATTTCAACTTTATTTTGTTTACGGAGACCCCAATGATTTTCCAAATCCCTGAAGTATGCATTGGTTTTATTGGTTTATTCGTAATAAAAATATCCTGATCCGTTGGGTATTAGCGGAAACGAAGTTTCCGCTTGTACACATACGGTCAGTGATCTTGATATAGTGATCGGGGTATTTGTAAAATACAACCCTCCCCTGTACAATTTTTACAGTTGCCTTAGAATATTCACTAGCATTTATCTAGACATTTTTAATTTTGGTGGTCATTTATTATTATCAATATGATATTAGCATGGGTAGTATATAAAATATAAAACGTAAAATTTACATCATTATTAATATTAAGACATCCAAGTACAAAAGCTGTGAAGATTCTACAGGAAAGGGTGATTTAGCCCGTGAAATGCGGTATATCGTAGTAATACTTATGCTAATACCATATTGATAACAATAAAATAATTACTAATATTAAAATATCTAGATAAAAGTTGTTAAGTATTTTACAGGGAAGCCCATAAAATACGGCAGTGTGAACTATTAAATGTTAGAGTTTTTATGCGTAACGTAATGTTTTAATAGCTTTAAGGAAATTAGCATATTACCGTATTGCACTGACCAAAAAAAAATTACAAAAATACCCGTCGGTATCTTGTTTTATTCAGCGCACTTACGGTAAGCTAATATTCAATATCGCTAAGAAACAGGTTAGTGTAATACTGTATTTCAATAGCAATCAAGAAACATGACTTTTATTATATTGTAATTAGATATCGTGTAGTGTAAACGACATAGCTTTTTTATATACTGTCTGACCTCTTGATACAGTCAACCTCAGTTTTTAAATTAAATTCATATTATTTCAGCCTCTATATAGTTACAAATGTATTATAATTACTGTCATAATTTTTTGTAACTAACTTTATTAAATTTTTTTAAAATAATTATAAAAATTTATAAAACCAAATAAAACTATAAATAAATACTATAAAATATTTATTAAGAGTTTGTTATTTTTAAAAGTTAAAGCATTATAGTTTTGCAATTTTATAAATAAAAAGATTTGAATATAATATATTTGTTAGACTATATTAAATGCTTATTTCAGTATTCTTTTTTCTAACTATTATCTAATCTAACATTTTACAACTAATATTTAAAAACTGTAAACCTCTTTTTTAAAAATTACAAAATTATTAGTAAAAATAATAAACAAAAAATTTAAACAAATAAAAATAACTAAATAGATTATAAAACAATTACAAAGACAATAAAAATAAAACAACAATATCAATACAAAACAAGATAAAGGCAAAAGAAAACAATATTTATAACAAACAAAACATCTAAGCAATAAACTTCTAATTCAACTTGTAAGTTTACATTTAAAACAATATAACAGCTAAAAATAAAAGATTATAATATTAAAAATAAAATTAACAATAGCAGAAATGCAAATATAAAAGATACTAAAACAAACATAGTATACTTAACTACAAAATTAAAAAAACCTTATATTAATCTAGTTTTATTATACAAAAAATAATAAATAACAAAACTAACATATTTATAACAAAAAAAAATATTATTATCAAACAATTATAATAAAACAAAATTAAATCAAATAACCTCTAGAGTTAATAACATAGTAGTTATGCTCTGAGGTTACAAATTGCAAAGTTGCCAATTCAAATCCTAGTAATGGTAATTGTAAAGATGCATTTCTAAAAATAAAGAACTGTAACACTATAACACCAGGAACTCAGAATGTCATTGAATGAACTTATTTTTAAAAAAGGCAAATGATCTGTAATTGAGAAGCTATCTAGTAATAAATATAACTTAGAACCTAATTTGAAATAACTGAAGTCATAAAATATAATGTGAGATTAAAAGTCTAATAATAAGAGATATTACATAAACTCATGATGACAGTTAGTTTTAGATAAAGCTTGATAAAGTTTTTTAATTTTGATAAAGGTCAGTATAATGGATCATTCTTAGAAAGTTTAAAAGCATGAACTAGAAAAAATTAAGGTCTAGTGACTAAAGACATTAAAAACATTAGTTCAAAAATATAGAACATAAGAATAATCATAGCAAGATTGTCAAAGAAGAAAAAAAATTAGATCAAACAAGTTTTAATAATATTATATATAATAAAAATAAAAAGTAATTATAATAATTAATATATTATAAACAATAATAACTTTTATAATATGACTATATAAAAAAGCAGCAACATATATATAATATCAAATCAATACAGTACAATAAACTTATAAAAAAATACAAAATATTACAATAATAAAATAAAATTTATTAAAAATCAAAATATAATAATAGTAATAAATAATAATTAAATAAAAATAAAGACTAATATACAATAAAAATATATTAATATAATAGCAAAACAGACAATATCATAAGCAATATATAATAAAATAATTTAAAAAAATTTAGTATATCTAAATAATACATAAAGCATATAACAAAATAATTATATAAAAAAAATTAATATAAAAATTAATAAAAAATTAAAAAAAAACAAATACAATATTTAATAAAACTTTATAAAATTATAATAAAATAGTAGTTATACTAAAAAATTAAAAAGAAATTCTTAATTTTATATAACTCTTTTTGATGATCTTCTGTATTAATTTTTTTACACATACTAATCTATAAAAATTATATAGTTAGTATATTTATATATAACAAAATTTTACCATATAGCATCTAAGTTTAAGAGTTTCAAATTGCATGTAGATGATATGAAAAAAAGTTAAAAAAAATAGTTCTTTATAGGTTTGGCTTTCTGGTAAAAGTTTATAAAATTATTAAAAAAATAGCTTTGATTACAATTAAAAAAGTTTTTGTTAAGCTATATTTGAGCAGCAGCAAAAATAGAAGCCTAGTTAAATATACTATTTTATATAATATAAACTCTTATACTTACTATAATTAATATTTTAAAAAATTCTTTCTTTATTTTTTTCTAAGAATTTTTATTGAAAAATAAACAATCTAACTTATTACAATCAAAATCAATATTGTTAATCTTTTTAAATCAGAATTGTTTATTAGTTTTATTTTAAAAAAACTTATGTTGTAAATAAAGCATAAGTATATATGTCTTAAAAAAAACATAACAATAAGATAAGATTAAAGATTTTGACAAAAAATAAGATGATTGATCAAAAATGTAACAAATATCGAAATGTAAGAATTAATAAAAAATATAATTAGTTATACATGAAAATAGGTCCAATAACAAGAAATTAAAATATTTAGTATATAAAAACTTTTTTGTCAGTTTAGTTTTGGTTAAATTGTTTTTCTTAAAATATAAGCTTTAATATTAAATATATTAATTAGATAAAGTTAAAATAGAGATTACTGTATTTAGTAATATATAATTTTTAGTAGGCCAATATAACCTTTATAATTAATAACTATTTGTTTGGCCTTCATTAACAATCTCTTTTTCTTTTATTTGTTTTTTTTTATGTTTTTTTATATATATATATATTTAGTGCATTTTTCTTATAATAAGAAGTTTTTTTATTTTTTTTACTTTTCTACAAACAAATAGTATTAGATTGATACTGTTCAATTGTAAGATGACAGATAGATGAGCTCAATTTAGACTTTAGCAAGTCTGTTGCAGCAGGTTACTCATAGGTGCCAATTAAGGTAACTGCATGATAATGGTACAAGAAGTTAGATATAGTTATATTTGTATATTGTTAGTACTAAACATTTATAAATAAACTTCTGACTGGTTGACCATCATAGCTGCCAAAGTTAAAAAAATCAATAATAAAATAAAATAAAATAAATTCAAAAATTTATCAAATACAAAATACAAACTAAGTTTAAAACTTGCAATATATTTATTAATTTAA